GTGCTGTTAAAAAGCTTCTCTGCGTCCCATCCTAACGAATTGAAAGCCGTGCGCTGAAGGCTCTGTGAGGTCTGGCGTCGCAGGCCAAGGCAGTGAGTCTTCTTTGTCACAAAATGGTGCGCTTTTCAAGGAGGTGGTTCTTGGGAAACGATAGCCCCACCATGAGGACGCCCGTTCTAGTAAGAAGACCGTGGTTGGTCGCAGCTTTTAGCAACCAGCTAGGTGGTCGCCGGCCAGCTGAGTGCTGGTGGGCGACGTGAAGACATCCGGTGTATCTACACCCAGCCATATTGATTTCAGTTCGTGAGACGGCTGTGACGCAGGACAGCGTAGAAATATTGCAGTGGTGGCAAGGGCCCACGGCCGAACGGCACCACCATCGATGGCGTTCGCGCAGTTCACGTAACGTCGTGTGCAGGCCGGTCCTTTCGTCTCTCTCTCTGAGACCGAGAGGTCAAGTGCTTGAATAAGAGAGCGAGAGGAGAGGACATCAACAAGTGTTTTTATTCTGTCCAATAAACAGACGGAACTGTCTTGGTCGGCCGTCAGGAGAATTGAGAGGGGCAACCGAGGGGTTACAACCTGGCCCGCGTTTCCTCATGGTCGTTCTGGTCGTAGCAAACAGGGCTCTGCACTATCGGCTCTGCCGAGACAACATGCGACGGTTTCGACGGTGAAGAGTCTAGTAAATTTCTACAGAAGTTCCTGTACATAAAGTCGAGTTGTTGCAACGTGTTGAAATGTGCTGGTCTCCATCCCTGAACAAGCAGCAGCAGCAACAAAAAGAAAAGACGGACACCATGCAACCATCCTTCCACTCCCTTCTATAGCAACAGCCGCTACACAGCTGAGAGAGCTCTGCTCAAGGAAACAGATGGAGCGAGTAGACGGCTGAGTTTTACTGGTGCAGTCAGACAAGATCGAGACAATGACGACGAGGAATGCTCTGGGTACCAAGGAGTTTGTCGTGTTGCGTAGGACACGAAAGACGAACGCCAAGATAATGGCTAGTCCAACGAAGAAGCAAGCCACCAAGCTGAGGAGGCTGTGGTGCGGCAACCATCGGCCCGAAGAAGTCACCGGTCCAGCCACTGTAATCTTCAAATCATTGGTCCAGTGACAACCCAGGCGACATCGGGCGAAGTCGAGCGTCTGACGTCAGGCAAGCCGAGAGGACATCGAGCAGCAGCTTCACAAGTGATGAGGCCTTTGGTGTTCTTACATCTCAGGGGTGCCGCTGCCTTTCTTGAGACGTAAGGTGTCCTATGGACGTGAGGTTTTCCACTTAAACCCGGACAGGCAAGCGCAGGCCATGCGTCGTGAGTCGGGGGACGAGAGTGGTGCGGCGAAACCGGGAGAGGGGAGTGCGCGGGAGAGCCAGAAAGATGACCGCTTCAAAAATCTCACGCTGGACTGTAGACTGCAGGACTTGCGGTTGGAGATAGAGAGACTATCGCAGATGATGGGTAGAAGCCCTCGGTAGAGTGGACCTGAGATGGGCAGGCGGCATCCATGTAGCGAACTGAGCCGCTACTCGAAAGTTCTCACAGGGGACCCCAATTTACAACACAGACTGAAGCGCCGGTGTGGTTTTAGTCCGTGAAGGGTGCCCTAGAGGCGTACGAGACACCGGGAGAGCTTTGGAGACTTTTGGTTTTCCCGTTGGTAGTGGAGAGAGTCCCATTTTTGTCCACGTGGCTAAGCTATACAGAACATAAAGATTACCAAGTAATAGAGCAAACAGTGCATGACGAGCTGACACTTTCGGCATAGAAATATATGAAAAGATACTTGGAGTCAGGGAAGTGCGAGAACGGAGGGTGGAGACCATTTTCGACATGCATAAAGAGCAACCTCCACTTTTACCTGGAGGCAATGGGGGTGTCGACATTCAAGGGCCTGGTCAAGCTTTTGGTTGCCGACCAATCAAAAAAATTTTTGGAGGAGGCCTTGCGGTATGTGGCACTCCAAGAAGGGAGAAAGTGGATCAGCGCCGTAGAGATATCCGTGTTGCTGCGAATGTTTGGGGCAGGCCATGGTGCGAACAGCGCTGTGAGACAAACGAATCAAAAGCCAGCGGAATCGGAAGGCGTGAGCAAGGCTGGAGTTCAGAATAAGACAGCTACGAGTCGCAGTGCCAGAGAAAGCTTAGGGGCAGAAGAAAAACATAACTCCAGGGCATGCTACAGTTGCGATAGTGCAGGGCACCAAAAATAGAATTGCCGTCAGCGCCAGAAACAGCCGACTGAAGGGATTCCGGGCGCTGAGAGCGAGAGCTTAGTGGCGCACGTTTCAATGGGAGAACCGGTGGTAGCGCGCAGTCACCTTACAGTCGTGTCACTCAATTGTAAGGATAGGCATATCGAAGCGGTTCTATACACAGGGGCGGAGATCACTGTATTGCGGAATAGCGTGATCCCACCGGAGATAGTGAAGCCGTAAAACACTCTTAACTTAACATCTGCGTTCGATGGTACAGTGAAGGCTAAGCTTGCGGTGGTCCCGTTAACAATGTTTAGCGAAAGCGGCATTGGTCGCTCGGGAAATGGTAGTGGTGCCTCAGGGGTCGTTTAGTTAAGAGTGACGTGCACGAAGCTGGAGACACTTGAATAGACATGCGTTGAATTGTGTGGGTGTCTCAGTGAAATGTATTTTTTCTTGTGTTTGCATAAGCATACGGGAGTTAGGGTATCTGGTGTTAAACATAACAGCACCATGTGGGTAAGGATTTGTATGTTTCGGGGAAGTGTTTTTCTGTTGAATGCATAGGACTGCCTGCTTTATCGATTGCACTTGCGTACTCAGTGACCTCGTGTCGTATTTATTTTTCTTGTTTGCTTTGTTGTGGCGCCCGTTCGATGGGGTCCTGAGAATTCAGCAGAGAGAATACTGCGCGTGTTGCAGAAACGCCTCTGGCGTTCAAGGAACGACGAAGTGCGGCCGCAGTGCTTGGGGAATTTCGGCGTCATCCCTTAATGTTGTTATTAGCGTATCTGCATTTGAACACTTGCACAAATCTTGGGAAGTGCGTGTAAAGTCTGGTGTCACAGGCAAGGGGGGTGAGTCTTCTTTGCCACAAAAGGGTGGGCTTTGCAAGGAGTTGATTCTCGGGAAACAATAAGCCCGCCATAACGACGCCCATTCTAGCAAGGAGACAGCAGCAGATCGCCACTTTTAGCAACCAGCTAGGTGGTCGCCGACCAGCGGAGTGCCGATGGGCGACGTGAAGACATCTGGTGTATCGACGCCCATCCATTTTGATATGAGTCCACGAGGCGGCTGTCACGCAGGAGAGCGTAGTCATCTCGCAGTGATGGCACGAGTCCACGGCTGAAAGGCACCATCATCGAGTGCATTCGCGCAGTTCACAGAACGTCGTGTGCAGGCCGGTCCTTTCGTCTTTCTCTCTGCGACCGAGAGATCGAGTGCTTGAATAAGAGAGAGAGAGAAGAGGACTGCAACAAGTGCATTTAGTCGTTCCAATAAACGTACTAAATTGCTTTGGTTGACCGTGAGGAGAATTGAGAGGGGCAATGCAGGGGTTAAAACCTGGCTCCCGTTTCCTTATGGTCGTTCTGGTCGCAGCAAACAGTGCTCTGCACTATCGGCTCTACCGAGGTAACATGCGATGGTTCTGACGGTAAAGAGTGTTGTAAATTTGTGAATCAGTTCCTGTAAATAAAGTCTAGTCGTCGCAACGTATCGAAAGGTGCTGGTATCCATCACTGAACAAGCAGCAGCTACGACAAGAGAAGACGGACACCATGCAGCCAACTTTCCACTTCCTTCTGTAGCAACAGTTGCTACGCAGCTGAGAGAGCTCTGCTTCAAGGGAAAAGAGGGAGTGGGTAGAAGGTTGAGTTTTGCTGGCTCTATTTTATTTTGTGATAGTGCTACTTTGTTAAAAAAGCAGTGCTTCAAGAATTCGGAAAAAATTTCGTGCTTTGCCAAACTCAGAACATCCTGCATAAACCTCCATGATTAATACTTCCCATCAGGACGAAGAATTCACTTAGGTACGGCGCATATCTGGCGTACGGCAGATATCTGGCCACCTGTTATGAGGTTAGGGCTGGATGCCACGTGAAGAGAAGCAAATTTTTGTATAAAGTAAATCTGTTCGTGTTGTGAAAATCAATAGCAAAAGTTGGCATTCGCGCAAATAGAAAGCGACAGAGCCGCTGCACATACTTCGGATTCTTTTTTGGATTTATATTGCCACGTTCCTTTCCAAAAGTTTTGTTATCACCCCGTTACACTACTTTCAGCACAAGCCGTGCCTACGATGTTCGAAATGCTTCAATGCTGTAGTAGATCATTTTGCTAAAACTACGCCCACTTCGTGAACATTTCAGATTACTCTGGAACCTACGTCACTGCTACCGATAACGCTAGAACATTGCATGACAAGTGTGTAAATGCCGACGTTCTTCGCCACTTCTCAGTTTATTGATGGCCGACGCTGAATTCGTCGCTATCTGTGATGATGATGATGATATGTGTGGTTTAACGTCCCAAAACCACCATATGAATATGAGAGACGCCGTAGTGGAGGGCTCCAAAAATTTCGACCACCTTGGGACACCGCGCCTACGATGTTCGAAAAGCTTTGAGGCTGTAGTAGATCGTTTCGCTAAGACTACGCCCACTTCATGGACATTTCAGATTATTCTGGAACCTACGTCGCCACTAGCGATAACGCTAAAACATCCAATGGCAATTGAATAAATGCCGACGCGCTTCGCCGCTTCTTAGTTTATTGACGGCTGACGCAATTCATCGCTATCAGTGCAAGTTTGCTACTGTTATCCGACTTTCCGCTTACCGGGTACAGGTTCGCCCGAATAAACAGTTCAATTTTCAACGTAGTCTGCTTTTTCGTCAATGTAACGACCCCATGACAATATAAACAAAGGTAGAACGCTTGTGCACGTGTATACAATGTGCAAATTCAAGCCACAGAAACGGCTAGAAGCGGCGATTTCAATCATCATACTCACCACAGACTACATTTGCACGCGGGAATATCTTCGACAGCTTCTTCAGGTACATCATGGGGGTAGTGCTGCCACCGATAAGGATAGCCCGCACACCACTTAAGTCCAGCTTCTCCGGTATTGGCGCCTCAATGAGGTAGCGAATATAAGTCGGGTACAACAACAGCATAGAATTCTGAAATAAGAATATGTGTGGACATTGATCTGCGACCAGCTAAATATTTACAGTCAAGTTCGAACACAACTCTGGCCTGCCTGCCTGTTTGCCGCATTGTGCTTAAAAGCAGCGCATATACGCACATTGTGTGGAAGCCTACAATTTTGCATGCGAAAACTAAGATGACGAGGCATTGCTTCTGGTCTAATAAATACAGGTCCGGGCAGCAGGTCAGACCAGGGGAATGACATCTCCCCCCCCCCCAAAGTTTTTTATAAGAATGGTGCACGGCATTTGATGTTCACTATTCGCGATTTAATTCCAAATGCCGTATCGCAGGTTTCTTTTGCAGTTTCCCCAAATTTCTGAGTCGAAATTCTATTTGTCTCAAAGGTCGTTCACTAATGGCGTTATCTTGCATGAATTTTGTAAAATTTTACGTTCACTAATATTTGGAGGAATGGTGCCTCTAGGCAAACTTCAATGTTGTATGTACAATACTAACGAATTGAAACAGGGCACTCGTAGCGCGTGGCCACCCGTGCATGTGCCGCCACTCGTGGGCATTTGCGGAATGAGGGTGTTGATTGATTGATATGTGGGATTTAATGTCCTCAAACCACCATTAGATTATGAGAGGCGCCGTAGTGAAGGGCTCCGGAACGTTCGACTACATGGGGTTCTTTAACATGCACCCAAATCTGAGCACATGGGCCTACAATATTTCTGCCTCCATCGGAATTGCAGCCGCCATAGCCGGGATTCGATCCCACGTCCTGTGGTTCAGCAGCCGAGTACCTTAACCACTAGATCACCGCGGCGGGGCGGAATGGGGGTGCTGCATGGTGATATAGAGTGAGGGAAAGAACACCTTCAGAGCAGGGTTACTTCTTCTGGTCGCTGAAGAGTCGGTATTTAGGTCACAAAACGCCCACTGTCAATGTAGTGGTGCAAGGCCCTCACGCTTTCTCATGCATGCAGCCCTAATTCAGCGTACGGTGGATATCAATTAAGCAGACGACGCTTTTTGTCGTGACGAAAAGGAAAAGCAGCCGCCACGGCCCTGCAGCATTGAAACGATCACTTAGTATTTTGTTGTTGTGCTCCGAGCAGCCAATATTGCGGCAATTGTGTGAGGCGATTTTTTCGCAAGGCGCCAGCCATGGAAGAACGAGCAAGCTTGTACCATATTTATTCAATATTAGGCCACAATGTGCCCTAGTGACATTAATACATGATATTATTTCCATGTTGCATGAAGACAAGCGTGCATTTCATTCATTTTCTTGTAGGGACAGAAAGCATGAAAAAACTTTCAATGTTTTATTCAGATGTTTATCAGGTATACGAACGCACGCAAGGCGCAATCTCCTAACTGAGTCTTCTGTTTTACTTGCACAGTACGCGTACCGTATCGCCTAAGCACGCAGAAAGAGAAGGGCGTCTGCTGGCGCTGCAATAAAAGTGGTGCGCAGTGGCGAGCTACTGTGGTCGACATGCTAATGTGCGTGAGTCTTGCAGCGCCACGCTTGCAGTGTACACACGGTGAACTACAGGCCGACATTTTGGCGACCATAAAGAGTAATTCTTCTCCGTAGGTGTTCTTCCCCTCGCTTTATACCGCAATGCAGCACATCGGTTCTACGCGCACCCATGAGCGGTGGCACATATACCGTCTGCCACACGCTCCGAGTGTCCTGTTTCGATCCGTGAATACTGTACAGTACGTATTCACTAGAAGAAACAGGGAAAACGTACGTTATTTCTATTAAGCTAACTGCATTTTCTGTATTTAGCACCGATAATGCAGTGTCAAATGCACTTTATGTCCAACATTGCCATATATGTTTTTACTGGTGAATGACGCGTAACATCAGTGATTATGTAAAACATGTATAGTGGCCACTTATAGTTCAGTTATCGGAACTGTGGAGGCGTTTTGCACTATCCAGTTAGTTTACATACATACGTCATTTAGGTTGTTCTAACGAAATGATATTCAGCAAAGTGACAAGACCAGTTCATTCACAATCAAATAAAAAATAACGTCCAGTAAACTATGCATCTATCTAGCAAGTGCAACCTGCGCGCGCGTGTGTGTTCTTTTGTTTAATTAAAAATTATAAACCAATTACCTACGAATGCACTTAAAAGTAATACTGTAGTTCCTGAAATATGCAAGTTTATTAGCCACTGTATTGTTGATTTGTTTTTTTATATTTCATTACTAGCTTTACTGACGCCTTCTTTATACACACATTGGTGAAGCATTTTGAGATACATAAAATAATCAACACAACAACCCTACCGTTTAGCTTGAAATGACCTATTACGGCCCTCTACAACAGCCTCACTTTGTAATCAACAGAGTGCTGACAGCAGCGCCTAGGCTATATCAGAAGAAAGAGCACGAAGGACGATTCTTGCACTTTACCTCGTGCTTCTGTGCTGTCATGAGCAAGCGCTCGATGCCCAGTGTGGGCAATGCCACTGTCTTGGCCCCGAAGGCAAGCATGGTGCAAAACACACAGAACCCCAATGGATGAGAGAACGGCAGCATGCCAATGTAAGCATCAATTACAGTGAACATAGATGTCTCCGACCTGTGTAATAAGACAGAATGCAAAAAAAAGCGCTTGTGAGTACGAAACAAACACAAATTTGGCTCATACTGCAGCTGAAACGACAACGGCCATTCACTAAAAGGTAAGCATCTAATACAGGCCCGTAGCCAAGGGAAGTGCCCAAAGGTTCTGGTCTCCGTCGCAACCCTCGATATTCGAAAGTTTAACAGAAAAGAGGTAATTAAAAATTTCGAGATTGCTTTAGCTTTGCCTCGAAGATAAGGTCGCGATAGCATAATGGCGCCTTGAGCGCATCGCCCTCCAAACTGCTTACCTGCTGCAGTTTTCGGTGTACACCTCAACCACACAGTAAGAAAACAAAAGTGGAGTCGGTCCTTTCATGGCGTACACACGCTTCGGGACTGGCCACAAACCGAATATTTTAAAAGAAAATTTTAATTATTGGATCAAGGGAGTCTCACATGGTACTACCTAAAACTGTCTCCGACAGGTGGTGCTACCTGTCTGCAAAAGTCCAGTTGGACGTCTATGCTGGCTCCCAAGTGACACGGGTTATAGTGGCACTGTGAACAACATGATAGGCTGCTTAGATAATGCTGGGATTGTTGACAGCAATGTGATACAAAAAGGTAAGCGTGTAAACAGTGATAGAATAGAGAAGTCATGACAAGACAACACTACACACAGCTTTTGCGCCATTATTCATAATTCATACCTGACAGCCTCCCAACCTCGAAATTCCCGAGATGCATATTGTGAAAACTGACATGTGTTTTTGTGGTTTGTTCAGGTTGCAGCGACGTTAGCAGCTCTGAACTATTAAACTATTACCACTAGAGTCTCTACACGTCAGTGGTCATGCTGGTGCTCCTTAGTTTTGGATTTTTGCAAGTGGGATTTTTTATGGGTAAAATCTGCCGTCAACCACACCCACTAGCACCCCCTTGACGATCTTAGATTGCTTTTCCGCACAAGGCCACTGTACGTATTACTACAAGCGTGGCTTAAGAAGTTTTGCAAACGCGCTAAAACATAGCGAGAGCGTTTTCGAAATTCTTTATATAACCGTCTTTTCACGGAGGTGTCCGGCTTACCTATAGCATACTTTTGCGGTTGTGCCTGCGTGATGAGGATAATTGTTTGCAGCTTAAAAAGCTTTGTACACGCGATAAAACATGTCGAGAAACTTTTCAAGATGCTTCATTTATTCATATTTTCACGGAGGAGTTGGAGCAACCTATCCTAAATTTTGCGGCTGTGGCCATTCGATGGAGAGAATAACTCCAAATTCGCGAGAGTTGGCTGGTATGACACATAATTTGCTTCTTCTGGTTCAGTGGCGCAGCATCCCCTACCACCACGCGACTAAGTTTCAATCCCGTAGTTTGCGTCTTTGTTTGTCCTTTTTAAAGTTATAATGTTTTAGAGTGAACGTTTTAGAGTAGCAAAGATTTACTGTACAGGTGATGGAGGAACATTTACGAGTGGCGTTTTGGCCCGTAATTTTGCTTTGGTGGCACAGCATACGCGCAGTACGTAATTAGGTGCCGTTACCCGGGAGCATCACGCTTAGAATCCGACGTGCGAATTTTTCGCAGTGTCTCATTTCAATGTGCACGTTTACAGGTACAATGAGTTTGCGCTACAGGTGCAAGGACTGGACAACAGTTACGTGGGGCGTGTGGGGGGTGCCATAGAGCATCGCTATAGTTTCGTTTATGTGGTTCAGTTTGGTAACTCGCAATCCATCATTATGTCGGCCTTACCTAGCCAGTTTGAGTGTCACGTTTATTGTACTTTTAAAACACATTACTCCAGAATCACGCGTCTAGGCACAATTACGCAGCACTGTAGGATGGCCTCACAGCTACCTTTTGGTGTCTACCACATGAGCATGCATCATTTGTGTGAGTGCTTTAAAGCCTGTTGGAAATCACGCTCATGTCACAATCACTTTTGTCGTTTCTAAGCAAGTCACTTCAATATGGACATTTGAGGTACATTTTACTTGATGTGCCATTAAAATGTTTTTCCTAATGTTATGTTCGACATGGAAGCGTCGTTTTTGCTTTACAAACATCTGCACCAGTACTGGCGGTAACGCGTACTGTTTTTGGTAACTTACTAACGTACTCGTTAACATTTTAGAACTGTCACGGGTAACGTACCTACGTTACAATAATAAAGTGAACGTACAGTGTCACGTTACTCGTTAGTTTTTAAGCTTGGAGGTGCCATTTCATGAATTCTGTTGTCGCAGCGTTGGACAGCTGTCCGCCTGCAACGTTTTGACAAGAATTGATTTTTTTGTAGAAATCACGGAATGAATCACTTGAAACACGCCGACTACATGTCAGGAGTTTTGGGACATCGCCACACAAACCATGAAAAATACAACATGATAAACTGTTCGAACATTTTTTTGTGGAAGTGAGTTTTAAGAGCTCAATGGCTGGCATATGCGCTTTTTCGTGCCCAAAAGACAGGCTGCCTGAAGAAAAAGCGCGTAGAAGGGTTTGACTCCGTACTTCGCGCTTATTGTCCTGCTTTGTACGTGTAGAAAGCAAATAACATTTTAGAGAGCCTGCTGCAACATAAAACCTACTTCTGCAAGTTCTAATGACAAAGGAGTGTACTTGCTGAGCACAACGTGCTTAACGGCCACCGAATCAAATTGCACAAGTTCGGCGTGGTAGACCCCAAATTCAATTTATAAGCTGCTTGTTTGTGAAATCCTGGCCCATCCAGGAAACAGCCAGGAACTTCTATAGTTTCGCTATTGCCCGAGAGCCTGCCTAAACGGAATGCTACACATCATGGACAATAGGCTTGACCGCATGGCAGGAATGCGATTGAGACGTGATACACCGAAGTTTCTTTTTTTGTGAAGAAAACGAAAAAAAAAAAACGTTTTTAATTTTTTTACCTTGGTTGGCTCAGTTTCTCGCTATCCTCTCTTTCAGCTAAAGCCGAATAATACCGCTGTCGCACGAACGCTACGGCTAACTACAGTTACAGGCAGCTAGCTACACGGCAGACATAACCCCAGTACTCTCCTCACCATGGTTATCGCAAACCAAGGACGTAGGCAGAATTTTTTAGAGGGTGGGGGAAGGGGGGGTTGGCTTTTCAGTCTGAAGTTGGGAACGGGCATGCAAGTGCTCAATTGGTGCTCTGTATGTCATGAAAAAAAAAAAAAACTCAAGGCCACGGGCTCACAGTGTCACACCCTTGCTACATCAGCATCGCCAAGTGGTGGTTCCACGAGAGGTCGACATGAATCTGAAGAATGATATTCTAGGTTTCAGTGAGTAACTTATGTTTGATGCATATAGCACCCAGTATCCCGTAAAAATTCACTCATTGACAGATATGTGGGGTTTCACGTCTTGAAATCACCACATATTTATGAGAGATGTCGTATTGAAGGGCTAGGGAAAAGCGTTTCGCTTCCACTTTATGTTTGTAAATTTCAACCTAATTACATATGTGCAGAAAATAAACATATTTATTGCAGTTTTATATAGTATTTTGAATTAACAAGTTTTTTTCTATTTGCGTGTAAAGTAACCTCCCGCTGCGATTCGCCGTGCAGCTCACAATGTAGTGGTTTCATGTAAACTTGGCCCTCCACATCAAGAGGTTGCTCACCCGTGTGAACTAAAACATTGCAAATTACATTCTTCAATGACGTACCAGCATTCGAGTAAAGGCGCCCACGACGTGATTTTTGTTCGTTTCACTAGTTGTTTGCACATAAGAATTGGTTTTCCATAGAACATAAATTACAGAAATAAAGTAGTTGCAATCACACTAGTGCTGCGGAAAAAAGTATGCTGTTGCACTCAACGTGAAATATGTAAGAAATGTGGAGCAGGCATTCTTCTGTCATTTCAAAACGCTCCCATTTACGGGCAAGCACGCAATTGCGTTCGAAATACGCAGCCCGCTTGATGTACACGGCGGAAAAAGAAAACTTTTACTTTCGATCTACAGGCTACCCCTCCTCCTCACCCCCCTTCTTTTTTTTCGCCCTCTTTCTCTACTGTGCTATACAGGGCAATGCTATGTTTATTACCCCCTCTTCCTTTTCTATATCTACATCCTCGCATTCTATTTCCACCCCTTTACTGCAGCTTACCGTATATGGCTACGCTTTACATGGACTGGCCTGCGCGCTTATACGCCCTTACTGCCTCTTTTGAGTTCTCCTTCCTACATGCTATACATAGGTATGGGGTTCATGGCTCTTCCTGCACAAAAGCAAGCCTAGGTTGACTACGCTTCATACTCTCCCTTCCTCTTATCCAAACCTCCCCATCCTCACTACTCTATACCCCGTTGGCTAGCCATGGCTATTCTACACATGGTTTCCCCTGCGTGACACCAAGTGGTGAGAAGATGAGAGCATGCGACTCTCTATTCCACCTCACCCTTCTCTTCATCTTTCACCTTTACTTCACACTCAGATTGCTCCTCCTCAACCTCTCTACCCTTCGTCACTCCATTGCTGTTGATGAATATACTATAGATAGCTAGTTGTGCTATACATGCTTTTGTCATCGTTACGGCCAACGACAGCAAACGATCACAAAGCACGGTGACAGTATTGTACAGCATACGTTAGCTCGAGCTCCTAATGTGCTCCGCACTTTGTAGCCCAATACCGGGACGACCTTCCGATGACAGGTTGTAATGATTGATATTGATTGATATGTGTGGTTTAACGTACCAAATACACCATATGATTATGAGAGACGCCATAGTGGCGGGCTCCGTAAATTTCGACCACCTGGGGTTCTTTACCGTGCACCCAAATCTGAGCACACGGTTGAAAATTGATATTGATATGTTGGGTTCACCGTCCCAAAACCACCCTATGATTATGGGAGACGCCGTAGTGGAGGGCTCCTGAAAATTTCGACCACCTGGAGTTTTTTAACGTGCACCCAAATCTGAGCACACGGGCCTACAACATTCCTGCCTCCATCGTATTGTGCAGCCACTGCAGCCGGGAT